TTTTAGACCAATTTGTAATAAAATTTTAAGCTATTGTTTCAGTAAAAACAGATTTTTATTGACTTCCAAATATTAACATAGTTTTAAGTACAATTGTAATGACCAAATACTTACATGTTGACTCTTCCTATCTGCCATGAATCCATCTTCTCTGTCTAGGAGTGCAACATATTTAGATGTATCTTTAACAAAAACTATAAATTAATATCAGCTTGAAATACAGACTATTTGCTGTTGCAATTTTTTCAGAATTTAATCTTTTGCATGTTGGACAAGAATATTTATAATTACTATACATTCCATTAAGAATATATTTCATTAGAGTATATATTTGAAGAAAAATTTTTTTGAGACCAAAGTTTCAAATTGGTTGATAATGAAATAGAGCCAGACAAAAAACTAAATACATTTTACCATAAACACAAGTTTTCATCATACTATGTAATAGCGCCCATTAAATTCATCAATGTTATATCAAAATCTGAAGTTTGCTCATGAGGTCTGCTTTTACGAGACCCATTTTAACATAAAGCATCTTTTTGTCAAACTGTTCAGGAAAAAACGGATTTTTATTACCTAACAAACATAAACATAGTTTTAAGAACAATTGTAATGACCAAATACCTACATGTGCAACATCCTAATGTGTGAAAGCATCTTTCATGGTATAGGAGTGTTACATATTTAGGCTGTATAATCTGTAACAAAAACAATAATTATTAATTAGTTTCTGCTTTAAATCCAGACTTTTTGCTGTTGCAATCAATTCAGAAAATAATGTGATGCATGTTTTATGTGAAATCCCAAATTAGAGAAAAGTATATAATTACAATTACTATACATTCTTATTAAAATATTCAGCATTAGAGTATAAATTTGAATGAAAGAAATTTTAGACCAATTTGTTAAAAAGCTTCAATCTGTTGTTTCAGGAAAAAACTGATTTTTATTACCTAACAAGTATAAATATAGTTTTAAGGAAAATTGTAATGACCAAATACCTACATGTGACTTATCCTAATGTGCATCTGCAATGGAAGCATCTTTCATGGTATAGGAGTCTTACATATTTAGGCTGTATCTGTAATGAAAACAAAAAAATATACATTTATATCAGCTTTCAATCAAGACTATTTGCTGTTGCAATCAATTTAGAAATTAATGTGATGCATGTTGTATGTCAAATCCTTAATTGGAGACAAGAATTTTTACAATCACTTTACATTCTTATTAAAATATATCTCATTACAGTGAATATTTCAATAAATGAAATGTAGGACCAATTTGTAATAAAATTTCAAGCTGTTGTTCCAGGAAAAACTGATTTTTATTACCTACCAAATATAAACATAGTTTTAAGAACAATTGTTATGAATAAATACATACATGTGACTAATCCTAATGTGCTATCTGCAATGGAAGCATCTTTCATGGTATAGGAGTCTTACATATTTAGGCTGTATCTGTTAACAAAAACAAATATTTTAAATTAGTTTCAGCTTCAAAATCAAAGCAATTTGCTGTTGCAATCAATTCAGAAATTAATGTTATGCATGTTTGATGTCAAATCCTAAATTGGAGACATATATTTACAATAACTATACATTCTTATTAAAATATACTTCATTAGGATATAAATAGGAATAAAAGAAATTTTAGACCAATTTGTTATAAAGCTTCAATCTGTTGTTTCAGTGAAAACTGATTTTTAATGCCTAACAAATACTAGAGGCTTCAAGGAGCCTGTGTTGCTCATCTGATATTTTTATTTATAATTGATGCATGAAATAATGCAACCGTTATACATTTGCTTTAGTTTCAGAGATATAAGTCAAAAACTGCATTTCCCCCTAAGTTCTACTTTTAGCCATGTCTGACATGTTGGTTGGCAGGCAGGGTCATCGGACACATTTTTTAAAACTTGATACCCGAGTGATGATTGTGGCCAAGTTTGGTTAAATGTGTCTCAGTTGTTTCAGGAGAGAAGATTTTTGTAAAAGACTACAAAAATTTACGAATAATTGTTAAATTTGACTTTAAAGGGCAATAACTCCTTATGGGGTCAATTGACCATATTGGTCATGTTGACTTATTTGTAGATCTGCCTTTGCTGAACATTATTGCTGTTTACAGTTTATCTCTATCTATTATAATATTCAAAAAAACTGCAAAATTTCCTTAAAATTACTAATTCAGGGGCAGCAACCCAACAACGGCTTGTCTGATTCATCTGAAAATTTCAGGGCAGATAGATCTTAACCTGATAAACATTTTTACCCACGTCAGATTTGTTCTAATTGCTTTAGTTTCAGAGATATAAGCCAAAAACTGCATTTTACCCCTATGTTCTATTTTTAGCCATGTCGGCCATCTTGGTTGGCAGGCAGGATCATCGGACACATTTTTTAAACAAGATACCCTAGTGATGATTGTGGCCAAGTTTGGTTAAATTTTGCCCAGTAGTTTCAGGAGGAGATTTTTGTATGAACAGACGACGACGACTACGGACGCCAAGTGATGAGAAAAACTCACCTGGCCAAAACCAAAGGGGCCAGGCGAGCTAATAAACCTAGTTTAAAGAAAAAAATTGTAATGAATAAATACTTACATGTGACTAATCCTAATGTGCTATCTACAATGAAACCACCTTCATTGTCGAAGAGTGTAACATATTTAGGCTGTATCTGTAATAAAAAGAAAAATTGTAAATTAGTTTCAGCTTTAAATAGGGAATATTTGCTGTTGCAATCAATTCAGAAATTAATGTGATGCATGTTTTATGCCAAATCTTAAATTGGAGACTAGTCTAGAATATCTACAATTACTTAACTTTTACAGTAAATATTTGAATAAAAGAAGTGTTCGACAAATTTGTAATAAAATTTCAAATTGTTGTTCAAGGGGAAAACTGATTTTTGTTACCCAACACATATAAAAAGAGATAAAAGTACAATTATAATGACAAAATACCTACATGATACAAATCTTCGTGTGCTATATACCATGAAAGCATCTTCATTGTCTAGGAGTGTAACATATTTAGGCTGTATCTATAACAAAAACAAATCATCAATTAGTATCAACTTCAAATAGAGACTATTGGCTGTTGCAATTAATTCAAAATTAATATGATGCATTTTTTATGACAAATCCTAATTTGAAGACAAGTATATAAACAATTTCTATACATTATCATTAATATAATCTTCATAAGAGTATAAATTTGAATAAAAGAAATTTCAAATCAAATCTAATTTAAGCTGCTGTTCCAGGGAAAACTGATTTTTGTTACCTGCAAACCATATAAACATAGTTTAAAGTACAATTAAAAATACCAAATACCTACATGCTACGTATCCAGATGTGCGATCAATCTACCATGAAACCATCTTCATTGTCTAGGAGTGTAACATATTTAGGCTGTATCTATAACAAAACCAAATCATCAATTAGTATCAGCTTCAAATGGAGACTATTGGCTGTTGCAACAATTATAAAATAAATGTCACTCATATTTTATGTTAAATCCTAAATTGGACACAAGAATATTTACAATTACTACACATTCATGTTAAAATTTACTTCACTAGATTATAAATTTGAACAAAAGAAATATGTACACTAATTTGAAATAAAATGTTATTTAAGCTGTTGTTCCAGGGAAAACTGATATTTATTACCCAACACATATAAACATAGTCTAAAGTACAATTGTAATGACTAAATACCTACACGTTAAACATCCTAATGTGCCATCTACCATGAAACCATCTTCATTGTGTGGGAGTGGAACATATCTGGGCTGTATCTATTACAAAAGAAAAAATATAAATTAGCATCAGCTTCAGATAGAGAATATTTAATGGCTGTTGAAAAAATTAAAAAATTAATGTGATTCATGTTTTATGTCAAATCTTAAATTACGGACACTTAATTTACAATTACTCTTTCGTTCTTATTAAAATATACCACATTTGAAATTCGAATAAAAGATATTTTAGACCAATTTGTAATAAAATTTTAAGCTATTGTTTCAGTAAAAACAGATTTTTATTGACTTCCAAATATTAACATAGTTTTAAGTACAATTGTAATGACCAAATACTTACATGTTGACTCTTCCTATCTGCCATGAATCCATCTTCTCTGTCTAGGAGTGCAACATATTTAGATGTATCTTTAACAAAAACTATAAATTAATATCAGCTTGAAATACAGACTATTTGCTGTTGCAATTTTTTCAGAATTTAATCTTTTGCATGTTGGACAAGAATATTTATAATTACTATACATTCCATTAAGAATATATTTCATTAGAGTATATATTTGAAGAAAAATTTTTTTGAGACCAAAGTTTCAAATTGGTTGATAATGAAATAGAGCCAGACAAAAAACTAAATACATTTTACCATAAACACAAGTTTTCATCATACTATGTAATAGCGCCCATTAAATTCATCAATGTTATATCAAAATCTGAAGTTTGCTCATGAGGTCTGCTTTTACGAGACCCATTTTAACATAAAGCATCTTTTTGTCAAACTGTTCAGGAAAAAACGGATTTTTATTACCTAACAAACATAAACATAGTTTTAAGAACAATTGTAATGACCAAATACCTACATGTGCAACATCCTAATGTGTGAAAGCATCTTTCATGGTATAGGAGTGTTACATATTTAGGCTGTATAATCTGTAACAAAAACAATAATTATTAATTAGTTTCTGCTTTAAATCCAGACTTTTTGCTGTTGCAATCAATTCAGAAAATAATGTGATGCATGTTTTATGTTAAATCCCAAATTAGAGAAAAGTATATAATTACAATTACTATACATTCTTATTAAAATATTCAGCATTAGAGTATAAATTTGAATGAAAGAAATTTTAGACCAATTTGTTAAAAAGCTTCAATCTGTTGTTTCAGGAAAAAACTGATTTTTATTACCTACCAAGTATAATTATAGTTTTAAGGAAAATTGTAATGACCAAATACCTACATGTGACTTATCCTAATGTGCATCTGCAATGGAAGCATCTTTCATGGTATAGGAGTCTTACATATTTAGGCTGTATCTGTAATGAAAACAAAAAAATATACATTTATATCAGCTTTCAATCAAGACTATTTGCTGTTGCAATCAATTTAGAAATTAATGTGATGCATGTTGTATGTCAAATCCTTAATTGGAGACAAGAATTTTTACAATCACTTTACATTCTTATTAAAATATATCTCATTACAGTGAATATTTCAATAAATGAAATGTAGGACCAATTTGTAATAAAATTTCAAGCTGTTGTTCCAGGAAAAACTGATTTTTATTACCTAACAAATATAAACATAGTTTTAAGAACAATTGTTATGAATAAATACATACATGTGACTAATCCTAATGTGCTATCTGCAATGGAAGCATCTTTCATGGTATAGGAGTCTTACATATTTAGGCTGTATCTGTTAACAAAAACAAATATTTTAAATTAGTTTCAGCTTCAAAATCAAAGCAATTTGCTGTTGCAATCAATTCAGAAATTAATGTTATGCATGTTTGATGTCAAATCCTAAATTGGAGACGTATATTTACAATAACTATACATTCTTATTAAAATATACTTCATTAGGATATAAATAGGAATAAAAGAAATTTTAGACCAATTTGTTATAAAGATTCAATCTGTTGTTTCAGTGAAAACTGATTTTTAATGCCTAACAAATACTAGAGGCTTCAAGGAGCCTGTGTTGCTCATCTGATATTTTTATTTATAATTGATGCATGAAATAATGCAACCGTTATACATTTGCTTTAGTTTCAGAGATATAAGTCAAAAACTGCATTTTCCCCCTAAGTTCTACTTTTAGCCATGTCTGACATGTTGGTTGGCAGGCAGGGTCATCGGACACATTTTTTAAAACTTGATACCCCAGTGATGATTGTGGCCAAGTTTGGTTAAATTTGTCTCAGTTGTTTCAGGAGAGAAGATTTTTGTAAAAGACTACAAAAATTTACGAATAATTGTTAAATTTGACTTTAAAGGGCAATAACTCCTTATGGGGTCAATTGACCATATTGGTCATGTTGACTTATTTGTAGATCTGCCTTTGCTGAACATTATTGCTGTTTACAGTTTATCTCTATCTATTATAATATTCAAAAAAACTGCAAAATTTCCTTAAAATTACTAATTCAGGGGCAGCAACCCAACAACGGCTTGTCTGATTCATCTGAAAATTTCAGGGCAGATAGATCTTAACCTGATAAACATTTTTATCCACGTCAGATTTGTTCTAAATGCTTTAGTTTCAGAGATATAAGCCAAAAACTGCATTTTACCCCTATGTTCTATTTTTAGCCATGTCGGCCATCTTGGTTGGCAGGCGGGGTCATCGGACACATTTTTTAAACAAGATACCCTAGTGATGATTGTGGCCAAGTTTGGTTAAATTTTGCCCAGTAGTTTCAGGAGGAGATTTTTGTATGAACAGACGACGACGACTACGGACGCCAAAGTGATGAGAAAAACTCACCTGGCCAAAACCAAAGGGGCCAGGCGAGCTAATAAACCTAGTTTAAAGAAAAAAATTGTAATGAATAAATACTTACATGTGACTAATCCTAATGTGCTATCTACAATGAAACCACCTTCATTGTCGAAGAGTGTAACATATTTAGGCTGTATCTGTAATAAAAAGAAAAATTGTAAATTAGTTTCAGCTTTAAATAGGGAATATTTGCTGTTGCAATCAATTCAGAAATTAATGTGATGCATGTTTTATGCCAAATCTTAAATTGGAGACTAGTCTAGAATATCTACAATTACTTAACTTATTACAGTAAATATTTGAATAAAAGAAGTGTTCGACAAATTTGTAATAAAATTTCAAATTGTTGTTCAAGGGGAAAACTGATTTTTGTTACCCAACACATATAAAAAGAGATAAAAGTACAATTATAATGACAAAATACCTACATGATACAAATCTTCGTGTGCTATATACCATGAAAGCATCTTCATTGTCTAGGAGTGTAACATATTTAGGCTGTATCTATAACAAAAACAAATCATCAATTAGTATCAACTTCAAATAGAGACTATTGGCTGTTGCAATTAATTCAAAATTAATATGATGCATTTTTTATGACAAATCCTAATTTGAAGACAAGTATATAAACAATTTCTATACATTATCATTAATATAATCTTCATAAGAGTATAAATTTGAATAAAAGAAATTTCAAATCAAATCTAATTTAAGCTGCTGTTCCAGGGAAAACTGATTTTTGTTACCTGCAAACCATATAAACATAGTTTAAAGTACAATTAAAAATACCAAATACCTACATGCTACGTATCCAGATGTGCGATCAATCTACCATGAAACCATCTTCATTGTCTAGGAGTGTAACATATTTAGGCTGTATCTATAACAAAACCAAATCATCAATTAGTATCAGCTTCAAATGGAGACTATTGGCTGTTGCAACAATTATAAAATAAATGTCACTCATATTTTATGTTAAATCCTAAATTGGACACAAGAATATTTACAATTACTACACATTCATGTTAAAATTTACTTCACTAGATTATAAATTTGAACAAAAGAAATATGTACACTAATTTGAAATAAAATGTTATTTAAGCTGTTGTTCCAGGGAAAACTGATATTTATTACCCAACACATATAAACATAGTCTAAAGTACAATTGTAATGACTAAATACCTACACGTTAAACATCCTAATGTGCCATCTACCATGAAACCATCTTCATTGTGTGGGAGTGGAACATATCTGGGCTGTATCTATTACAAAAGAAAAAATATAAATTAGCATCAGCTTCAGATAGAGAATATTTAATGGCTGTTGAAAAAATTAAAAAATTAATGTGATTCATGTTTTATGTCAAATCTTAAATTACGGACACTTAATTTACAATTACTCTTTCGTTCTTATTAAAATATACCACATTTGAAATTCGAATAAAAGATATTTTAGACCAATTTGTAATAAAATTTTAAGCTATTGTTTCAGTAAAAACAGATTTTTATTGACTTCCAAATATTAACATAGTTTTAAGTACAATTGTAATGACCAAATACTTACATGTTGACTCTTCCTATCTGCCATGAATCCATCTTCTCTGTCTAGGAGTGCAACATATTTAGATGTATCTTTAACAAAAACTATAAATTAATATCAGCTTGAAATACAGACTATTTGCTGTTGCAATTTTTTCAGAATTTAATCTTTTGCATGTTGGACAAGAATATTTATAATTACTATACATTCCATTAAGAATATATTTCATTAGAGTATATATTTGAAGAAAAATTTTTTTGAGACCAAAGTTTCAAATTGGTTGATAATGAAATAGAGCCAGACAAAAAACTAAATACATTTTACCATAAACACAAGTTTTCATCATACTATGTAATAGCGCCCATTAAATTCATCAATGTTATATCAAAATCTGAAGTTTGCTCATGAGGTCTGCTTTTACGAGACCCATTTTAACATAAAGCATCTTTTTGTCAAACTGTTCAGGAAAAAACGGATTTTTATTACCTAACAAACATAAACATAGTTTTAAGAACAATTGTAATGACCAAATACCTACATGTGCAACATCCTAATGTGTGAAAGCATCTTTCATGGTATAGGAGTGTTACATATTTAGGCTGTATAATCTGTAACAAAAACAATAATTATTAATTAGTTTCTGCTTTAAATCCAGACTTTTTGCTGTTGCAATCAATTCAGAAAATAATGTGATGCATGTTTTATGTTAAATCCCAAATTAGAGAAAAGTATATAATTACAATTACTATACATTCTTATTAAAATATTCAGCATTAGAGTATAAATTTGAATGAAAGAAATTTTAGACCAATTTGTTAAAAAGCTTCAATCTGTTGTTTCAGGAAAAAACTGATTTTTATTACCTACCAAGTATAATTATAGTTTTAAGGAAAATTGTAATGACCAAATACCTACATGTGACTTATCCTAATGTGCATCTGCAATGGAAGCATCTTTCATGGTATAGGAGTCTTACATATTTAGGCTGTATCTGTAATGAAAACAAAAAAATATACATTTATATCAGCTTTCAATCAAGACTATTTGCTGTTGCAATCAATTTAGAAATTAATGTGATGCATGTTGTATGTCAAATCCTTAATTGGAGACAAGAATTTTTACAATCACTTTACATTCTTATTAAAATATATCTCATTACAGTGAATATTTCAATAAATGAAATGTAGGACCAATTTGTAATAAAATTTCAAGCTGTTGTTCCAGGAAAAACTGATTTTTATTACCTAACAAATATAAACATAGTTTTAAGAACAATTGTTATGAATAAATACATACATGTGACTAATCCTAATGTGCTATCTGCAATGGAAGCATCTTTCATGGTATAGGAGTACATATTTAGGCTGTATCTGTTAACAAAAACAAATATTTTAAATTAGTTTCAGCTTCAAAATCAAAGCAATTTGCTGTTGCAATCAATTCAGAAATTAATGTTATGCATGTTTGATGTCAAATCCTAAATTGGAGACGTATATTTACAATAACTATACATTCTTATTAAAATATACTTCATTAGGATATAAATAGGAATAAAAGAAATTTTAGACCAATTTGTTATAAAGATTCAATCTGTTGTTTCAGTGAAAACTGATTTTTAATGCCTAACAAATACTAGAGGCTTCAAGGAGCCTGTGTTGCTCATCTGATATTTTTATTTATAATTGATGCATGAAATAATGCAACCGTTATACATTTGCTTTAGTTTCAGAGATATAAGTCAAAAACTGCATTTTCCCCCTAAGTTCTACTTTTAGCCATGTCTGACATGTTGGTTGGCAGGCAGGGTCATCGGACACATTTTTTAAAACTTGATACCCGAGTGATGATTGTGGCCAAGTTTGGTTAAATTTGTCTCAGTTGTTTCAGGAGAGAAGATTTTTGTAAAAGACTACAAAAATTTACGAATAATTGTTAAATTTGACTTTAAAGGGCAATAACTCCTTATGGGGTCAATTGACCATATTGGTCATGTTGACTTATTTGTAGATCTGCCTTTGCTGAACATTATTGCTGTTTACAGTTTATCTCTATCTATTATAATATTCAAAAAAACTTCAAAATTTCCTTAAAATTACTAATTCAGGGGCAGCAACCCAACAACGGCTTGTCTGATTCATCTGAAAATTTCAGGGCAGATAGATCTTAACCTGATAAACATTTTTATCCACGTCAGATTTGTTCTAAATGCTTTAGTTTCAGAGATATAAGCCAAAAACTGCATTTTACCCCTATGTTCTATTTTTAGCCATGTCGGCCATCTTGGTTGGCAGGCGGGGTCATCGGACACATTTTTTAAACAAGATACCCTAGTGATGATTGTGGCCAAGTTTGGTTAAATTTTGCCCAGTAGTTTCAGGAGGAGATTTTTGTATGAACAGACGACGACGACTACGGACGCCAAAGTGATGAGAAAAACTCACCTGGCCAAAACCAAAGGGGCCAGGCGAGCTAATAAACCTAGTTTAAAGAAAAAAATTGTAATGAATAAATACTTACATGTGACTAATCCTAATGTGCTATCTACAATGAAACCACCTTCATTGTCGAAGAGTGTAACATATTTAGGCTGTATCTGTAATAAAAAGAAAAATTGTAAATTAGTTTCAGCTTTAAATAGGGAATATTTGCTGTTGCAATCAATTCAGAAATTAATGTGATGCATGTTTTATGCCAAATCTTAAATTGGAGACTAGTCTAGAATATCTACAATTACTTAACTTATTACAGTAAATATTTGAATAAAAGAAGTGTTCGACAAATTTGTAATAAAATTTCAAATTGTTGTTCAAGGGGAAAACTGATTTTTGTTACCCAACACATATAAAAAGAGATAAAAGTACAATTATAATGACAAAATACCTACATGATACAAATCTTCGTGTGCTATATACCATGAAAGCATCTTCATTGTCTAGGAGTGTAACATATTTAGGCTGTATCTATAACAAAAACAAATCATCAATTAGTATCAACTTCAAATAGAGACTATTGGCTGTTGCAATTAATTCAAAATTAATATGATGCATTTTTTATGACAAATCCTAATTTGAAGACAAGTATATAAACAATTTCTATACATTATCATTAATATAATCTTCATAAGAGTATAAATTTGAATAAAAGAAATTTCAAATCAAATCTAATTAAAGCTGCTGTTCCAGGGAAAACTGATTTTTGTTACCTGCAAACCATATAAACATAGTTTAAAGTACAATTAAAAATACCTACATGCTACGTATCCAGATGTGCGATCAATCTACCATGAAACCATCTTCATTGTCTAGGAGTGTAACATATTTAGGCTGTATCTATAACAAAACCAAATCATCAATTAGTATCAGCTTCAAATAGAGACTATTGGCTGTTGCAATAATTATAAAATAAATGTCACTCATATTTTATGTTAAATCCTAAATTGGACACAAGAATATTTACAATTACTACACATTCATGTTAAAATTTACTTCACTAGATTATAAATTTGAACAAAAGAAATATGTACACTAATTTGAAATAAAATGTTATTTAAGCTGTTGTTCCAGGGAAAACTGATATTTATTACCCAACACATATAAACATAAGTCTAAAGTACAATTGTAATGACTAAATACCTACACGTTAAACATCCTAATGTGCCATCTACCATGAAACCATCTTCATTGTGTGGGAGTGGAACATATCTGGGCTGTATCTATTACAAAAGAAAAAATATAAATTAGCATCAGCTTCAGATAGAGAATATTTAATGGCTGTTGAAAAAATTAAAAAATTAATGTGATTCATGTTTTATGTCAAATCTTAAATTACGGACACTTAATTTACAATTACTCTTTCGTTCTTATTAAAATATACCACATTTGAAATTCGAATAAAAGATATTTTAGACCAATTTGTAATAAAATTTTAAGCTATTGTTTCAGTAAAAACAGATTTTTATTGACTTCCAAATATTAACATAGTTTTAAGTACAATTGTAATGACCAAATACTAACATGTTGACTCTTCCTATCTGCCATGAATCCATCTTCTCTGTCTAGGAGTGCAACATATTTAGATGTATCTTTAACAAAAACTATAAATTAATATCAGCTTGAAATACAGACTATTTGCTGTTGCAATTTTTTCAGAATTTAATCTTTTGCATGTTGGACAAGAATATTTATAATTACTATACATTCCATTAAGAATATATTTCATTAGAGTATATATTTGAAGAAAAAATTTTTTGAGACCAAAGTTTCAAATTGGTTGATAATGAAATAGAGCCAGACAAAAAACTAAATACATTTTACCATAAACACAAGTTTTCATCATACTATGTAATAGCGCCCATTAAATTCATCAATGTTATATCAAAATCTGAAGTTTGCTCATGAGGTCTGCTTTTACGAGACCCATTTTAACATAAAGCATCTTTTTGTCAAACTGTTCAGGAAAAAACGGATTTTTATTACCTAACAAACATAAACATAGTTTTAAGAACAATTGTAATGACCAAATACCTACATGTGCAACATCCTAATGTGTGAAAGCATCTTTCATGGTATAGGAGTGTTACATATTTAGGCTGTATAATCTGTAACAAAAACAATAATTATTAATTAGTTTCTGCTTTAAATCCAGACTTTTTGCTGTTGCAATCAATTCAGAAAATAATGTGATGCATGTTTTATGTTAAATCCCAAATTAGAGAAAAGTATATAATTACAATTACTATACATTCTTATTAAAATATTCAGCATTAGAGTATAAATTTGAATGAAAGAAATTTTAGACCAATTTGTTAAAAAGCTTCAATCTGTTGTTTCAGGAAAAAACTGATTTTTATTACCTACCAAGTATAATTATAGTTTTAAGGAAAATTGTAATGACCAAATACCTACATGTGACTTATCCTAATGTGCATCTGCAATGGAAGCATCTTTCATGGTATAGGAGTCTTACATATTTAGGCTGTATCTGTAATGAAAACAAAAAAATATACATTTATATCAGCTTTCAATCAAGACTATTTGCTGTTGCAATCAATTTAGAAATTAATGTGATGCATGTTGTATGTCAAATCCTTAATTGGAGACAAGAATTTTTACAATCACTTTACATTCTTATTAAAATATATCTCATTACAGTGAATATTTCAATAAATGAAATGTAGGACCAATTTGTAATAAAATTTCAAGCTGTTGTTCCAGGAAAAACTGATTTTTGTTACCTAACAAATATAAACATAGTTTTAAGAACAATTGTTATGAATAAATACATACATGTGACTAATCCTAATGTGCTATCTGCAATGGAAGCATCTTTCATGGTATAGGAGTCTTACATATTTAGGCTGTATCTGTTAACAAAAACAAATATTTTAAATTAGTTTCAGCTTCAAAATCAAAGCAATTTGCTGTTGCAATCAATTCAGAAATTAATGTTATGCATGTTTGATGTCAAATCCTAAATTGGAGACGTATATTTACAATAACTATACATTCTTATTAAAATATACTTCATTAGGATATAAATAGGAATAAAAGAAATTTTAGACCAATTTGTTATAAAGATTCAATCTGTTGTTTCAGTGAAAACTGATTTTTAATGCCTAACAAATACTAGAGGCTTCAAGGAGCCTGTGTTGCTCATCTGATATTTTTATTTATAATTGATGCATGAAATAATGCAACCGTTATACATTTGCTTTAGTTTCAGAGATATAAGTCAAAAACTGCATTTTCCCCCTAAGTTCTACTTTTAGCCATGTCTGACATGTTGGTTGGCAGGCAGGGTCATCGGACACATTTTTTAAAACTTGATACCCGAGTGATGATTGTGGCCAAGTTTGGTTAAATTTGTCTCAGTTGTTTCAGGAGAGAAGATTTTTGTAAAAGACTACAAAAATTTACGAATAATTGTTAAATTTGACTTTAAAGGGCAATAACTCCTTATGGGGTCAATTGACCATATTGGTCATGTTGACTTATTTGTAGATCTGCCTTTGCTGAACATTATTGCTGTTTACAGTTTATCTCTATCTATTATAATATTCAAAAAAACTTCAAAATTTCCTTAAAATTACTAATTCAGGGGCAGCAACCCAACAACGGCTTGTCTGATTCATCTGAAAATTTCAGGGCAGATAGATCTTAACCTGATAAACATTTTTATCCACGTCAGATTTGTTCTAAATGCTTTAGTTTCAGAGATATAAGCCAAAAACTGCATTTTACCCCTATGTTCTATTTTTAGCCATGTCGGCCATCTTGGTTGGCAGGCGGGGTCATCGGACACATTTTTTAAACAAGATACCCTAGTGATGATTGTGGCCAAGTTTGGTTAAATTTTGCCCAGTAGTTTCAGGAGGAGATTTTTGTATGAACAGACGACGACGACTACGGACGCCAAAGTGATGAGAAAAACTCACCTGGCCAAAACCAAAGGGGCCAGGCGAGCTAATAAACCTAGTTTAAAGAAAAAAATTGTAATGAATAAATACTTACATGTGACTAATCCTAATGTGCTATCTACAATGAAACCACCTTCATTGTCGAAGAGTGTAACATATTTAGGCTGTATCTGTAATAAAAAGAAAAATTGTAAATTAGTTTCAGCTTTAAATAGGGAATATTTGCTGTTGCAATCAATTCAGAAATTAATGTGATGCATGTTTTATGCCAAATCTTAAATTGGAGACTAGTCTAGAATATCTACAATTACTTAACTTATTACAGTAAATATTTGAATAAAAGAAGTGTTCGACAAATTTGTAATAAAATTTCAAATTGTTGTTCAAGGGGAAAACTGATTTTTGTTACCCAACACATATAAAAAGAGATAAAAGTACAATTATAATGACAAAATACCTACATGATACAAATCTTCGTGTGCTATATACCATGAAAGCATCTTCATTGTCTAGGAGTGTAACATATTTAGGCTGTATCTATAACAAAAACAAATCATCAATTAGTATCAACTTCAAATAGACACTATTGGCTGTTGCAATTAATTCAAAATTAATATGATGCATTTTTTATGACAAATCCTAATTTGAAGACAAGTATATAAACAATTTCTATACATTATCATTAATATAATCTTCATAAGAGTATAAATTTGAATAAAAGAAATTTCAAATCAAATCTAATTAAAGCTGCTGTTCCAGGGAAAACTGATTTTTGTTACCTGCAAACCATATAAACATAGTTTAAAGTACAATTAAAAATACCTACATGCTACGTATCCAGATGTGCGATCAATCTACCATGAAACCATCTTCATTGTCTAGGAGTGTAACATATTTAGGCTGTATCTATAACAAAACCAAATCATCAATTAGTATCAGCTTCAAATAGAGACTATTGGCTGTTGCAATAATTATAAAATAAATGTCACTCATATTTTATGTTAAATCCTAAATTGGACACAAGAATATTTACAATTACTACACATTCATGTTAAAATTTACTTCACTAGATTATAAATTTGAACAAAAGAAATATGTACACTAATTTGAAATAAAATGTTATTTAAGCTGTTGTTCCAGGGAAAACTGATATTTATTACCCAACACATATAAACATAAGTCTAAAGTACAATTGTAATGACTAAATACCTACACGTTAAACATCCTAATGTGCCATCTACCATGAAACCATCTTCATTGTGTGGGAGTGGAACATATCTGGGCTGTATCTATTACAAAAGAAAAAATATAAATTAGCATCAGCTTCAGATAGAGAATATTTAATGGCTGTTGAAAAAATTAAAAAATTAATGTGATTCATGTTTTATGTCAAATCTTAAATTACGGACACTTAATTTACAATTACTCTTTCGTTCTTATTAAAATATACCACATTTGAAATTCGAATAAAAGATATTTTAGACCAATTTGTAATAAAATTTTAAGCTATTGTTTCAGTAAAAACAGATTTTTATTGACTTCCAAATATTAACATAGTTTTAAGTACAATTGTAATGACCAAATACTTACATGTTGACTCTTCCTATCTGCCATGAATCCATCTTCTCTGTCTAGGAGTGCAACATATTTAGATGTATCTTTAACAAAAACTATAAATTAATATCAGCTTGAAATACAGACTATTTGCTGTTGCAATTTTTTCAGAATTTAATCTTTTGCATGTTGGACAAGAATATTTATAATTACTATACATTCCATTAAGAATATATTTCATTAGAGTATATATTTGAAGAAAAATTTTTTTGAGACCAAAGTTTCAAATTGGTTGATAATGAAATAGAGCCAGACAAAAAACTTAAATACATTTTACCATAAACACAAGTTTTCATCATACTATGTAATAGCGCCCATTAAATTCATCAATGTTATATCAAAATCTGAAGTTTGCTCATGAGGTCTGCTTTTACGAGACCCATTTTAACATAAAGCATCTTTTTGTCAAACTGTTCAGGAAAAAACGGATTTTTATTACCTAACAAACATAAACATAGTTTTAAGAACAATTGTAATGACCAAATACCTACATGTGCAACATCCTAATGTGTGAAAGCATCTTTCATGGTATAGGAGTGTTACATATTTAGGCTGTATAATCTGTAACAAAAACAATAATTATTAATTAGTTTCTGCTTTAAATCCAGACTTTTTGCTGTTGCAATCAATTCAGAAAATAATGTGATGCATGTTTTATGTTAAATCCCAAATTAGAGAAAAGTATATAATTACAATTACTATACATTCTTATTAAAATATTCAGCATTAGAGTATAAATTTGAATGAAAGAAATTTTAGACCAATTTGTTAAAAAGCTTCAATCTGTGGTTTCAGGAAAAAACTGATTTTTATTACCTAACAAGTATAAATATAGTTTTAAGGAAAATTGTAATGACCAAATACCTACATGTGACTTATCCTAATGTGCATCTGCAATGGAAGCATCTTTCATGGTATAGGAGTCTTACATATTTAGGCTGTATCTGTAATGAAAACAAAAAAATATACATTTATATCAGCTTTCAATCAAGACTATTTGCTGTTGCAATCAATTTAGAAATTAATGTGATGCATGTTGTATGTCAAATCCTTAATTGGAGACAAGACTTTTTACAATCACTTTACATTCTTATTAAAATATATCTCATTACAGTGAATATTTCAATAAATGAAATGTAGGACCAATTTGTAATAAAATTTCAAGCTGTTGTTCCAGGAAAAACTGATTTTTATTACCTAACAAATATAAACATAGTTTTAAGAACAATTGTTATGAATAAATACATACATGTGACTAATCCTAATGTGCTATCTGCAATGGAAGCATCTTTCATGGTATAGGAGTCTTACATATTTAGGCTGTATCTGTTAACAAAAACAAATATTTTAAATTAGTTTCAGCTTCAAAATCAAAGCAATTTGCTGTTGCAATCAATTCAGAAATTAATGTTATGCATGTTTGATGTCAAATCCTAAATTGGAGACGTATATTTACAATAACTATACATTCTTATTAAAATATACTTCATTAGGATATAAATAGGAATAAAAGAAATTTTAGACCAATTTGTTATAAAGCTTCAATCTGTTGTTTCAGTGAAAACTGATTTTTAATGCCTAACAAATACTAGAGGCTTCAAGGAGCCTGTGTTGCTCATCTGATATTTTTATTTACAATTGATGCATGAAATAATGCAACCTTTATACATTTGCTTTAGTTTCAGAGATATAAGTCAAAAACTGCATTTTCCCCCTAAGTTCTACTTTTAGCCATGTCTGACATGTTGGTTGGCAGGCAGGGTCATCGGACACATTTTTTAAAACTAGATACCCCAGTGATGATTGTGGCCAAGTTTGGTTAAATTTGTCTCAGTTGTTTCAGGAGAGAAGATTTTTGTAAAAGACTACAAAAATTTACGAATAATTGTTAAATTTGACTTTAAAGGGCAATAACTCCTTATGGGGTCAATTGACCATATTGGTCATGTTGACTTATTTGTAGATCTGCCTTTGCTGAACATTATTGCTGTTTACAGTTTATCTCTATCTATTATAATATTCAAGATAACAAAAAAACTGCAAAATTTCCTTAAAATTACTAATTCAGGGGCAGCAACCCAACAACGGCTTGTCTGATTCATCTGAAAATTTCAGGGCAGATAGATCTTAACCTGATAAACATTTTTACCCACGTCAGATTTGTTCTAATTGCTTTAGTTTCAGTGATTAAAGCCAAAAACTGCATTTTACCCCTATGTTCTATTTTTAGCCATGTCGGCCATCTTGGTTGGCAGGCGGGGTCATCGGACACATTTTTTAAACCAGATACCCTAGTGATGATTGTGGCCAAGTTTGGTTAAATTTTGCGCAGTAGTTTCAGGAGATTTTTGTATGAATGGACGATGACGACGGACGCCAAGTGATGAGAAAAGCTCACCTGGCCAAAACCAAAGGGGCCAGGTGAGCTAATAAACCTAGTTTAAAAAAAAAAATTGTAATGAATAAATACTTACATGTGACTAATCCTAATGTGCTATCTACAATGAAACCATCTTCATTGTCGAAGAGTGTAACATATTTAGGCTGTATCTGTAATAAAAAGAAAAATTGTAAATTAGTTTCAGCTTTAAATAGGGAATATTTGCTGTTGCAATCAATTCAGAAATTAATGTGATGCATGTTTTATGCCAAATCTTAAATTGGAGACTAGTCTAGAATATCTACAATTACTTAACTTATTACAGTAAATATTTGAATAAAAGAAATGTTCGCCAAATTTGTAATAAAATTTCAAATTGTTGTTCAAGGGGAAAACTGATTTTTGTTACCCAACACATATAAAAAGAGATAAAAGTACAATTATAATGACAAAATACCTACATGATACAAATCTTCGTGTGCTATATACCATGAAAGCATCTTCATTGTCTAGGAGTGTAACATATTTAGGCTGTATCTATAACAAAAACAAATCATCAATTAGTATCAACTTCAAATAGACACTATTGGCTGTTGCAATTAATTTAAAATTAATATGATGCATTTTTTATGATAAATCCTAATTTGAAGACAAGTATATAAACAATTTCTATACATTATCATTAATATAATCTTCATAAGAGTATAAATTTGAATAAAAGAAATTTCAAATCAAATCTAATTAAAGCAGCTGTTCCAGGGAAAACTGATTTTTGTTACCTGCAAACCATATAAACATAGTTTAAAGTACAATTAAAAATACCAAATACCTACATGCTACGTATCCAGATGTGTGATCAATCTACCATGAAACCATCTTCATTGTCTAGGAGTGTAACATATTTAGGCTGTATCTATAACAAAACCAAATCATCAATTAGTATCAGCTTCAAATAGAGACTATTGGCTGTTGCAACAATTATAAAATAAATGTCACTCATATTTTATGTTAAATCCCAAATTGGACACAAGAATATTTACAATTACTACACATTCATGTTAAAATTTACTTCACTAGATTATAAATTTGAACAAAAGAAATATGTACACTAATTTGAAATAAAATGTTATTTAAGCTGTTGTTCCAGGGAAAACTGATATTTATTACCCAACACATATAAACATAGTCTAAAGTACAATTGTAATGACTAAATACCTACACGTTAAACATCCTAATGTGCCATCTACCATGAAACCATCTTCATTGTGTGGGAGTGGAACATATCTGGGCTGTATCTATTACAAAAGAAAAAATATAAATTAGCATCAGCTTCAGATAGAGAATATTTAATGGATGTTGAAAAAATTAAAAAATTCGTAAGGGTTCCGCGGAACCCAGTGTCTCGCCTACTTCTGCTGTTAATCACAGGCTCAACAAAAATGAGGAAAAAAATTAATAAAAATATTCCTCTCTATACTATCTTTTGATTGTAAGTAGCTTCTGTCCAAGTTTGGTAAAAATCCAGGATAGTTTATGAATCTAATAAATGTTTTAAAATAAAAACTTAAACTGCAGACTGTTATGTAATGTTAACTGGAAGAAAAACTAAGTCCATTTATAAGTAAAATACGGAAAAAATGGAACAAAATTTTAACAAAATTTCATTTTAGATACTAGCTTTTAATCATAAACAAGCTTCTGTCTAAGTTTGGTACAAATCCAGGATAGTTTAAGAAAGTTGTTAAAATTTAAAAAACTTTAACCACAGAGTGAATGTAATGTTAACTGGCAGAAAAACTAAGTCCATTTATAAGTAAAATATGAAAAAAATGGAATTCTTTTTTTACAAAATTTACTTCTGGATACTATCTTATGATCACAAACAAGCTTCTTTCCAAGTTTGGTACAAATCCAGGATAGTTTAAGAAAGTTATTAAAATTTCAAAAACTTTAACCACAGAGTGAATGTAATGTTTCCTGGCAGAAAAACTAAGTCCATTTATAAGTAAAATACGGAAAAAATGGAATTTTTTTTTTACAAAATTTACTTCTGGATACTATCTTATGATCACAAACAAGCTTCTTTCCAAGTTTGGTACAAATCCAGGATAGTTTAAGAAAGTTATTAAAATTTCAAAAACTTTAACCACAGAGTGAATGTAATGTTTCCTGGCAGAAAAACTAAGTCCATTTATAAGTAAAATACGGTAAAAATGGAATTTTTTTTTTACAAAATTTACTTTTGAATATTATCTTATGATCATAAACAAGCTTCTGTCCAAGTTTGGTAGAAATCCAGGGTAGTTTAAGAAAGTTATTAAAATTTCAAAAACTTTAACCACAGAGTGAATATTTGTGGACGCCGCCGACGACGCCGACGGAATGTAGGATCGCTATGTCTCGCTTTTTCGACAAAAGTCGAAGGCTCGACAAAAATTAATGTGATTCATGTTTTATGTCAAATCTTAAATTACGGACACTTAATTTACAATTACTCTTTCGTTCTTATTAAAATATACCACATTTGAAATTCGAATAAAAGATATTTTAGACCAATTTGTAATAAAATTTTAAGCTATTGTTTCAGTAAAAACAGATTTTTATTGACTTCCAAATATTAACATAGTTTTAAGTACAATTGTAATGACCAAATACTAACATGTTGACTCTTCCTATCTGCCATGAATCCATCTTCTCTGTCTAGGAGTGCAACATATTTAGATGTATCTTTAACAAAAACTATAAATTAATATCAGCTTTAAATACAGACTATTTGCTGTTGCAATTTTTTCAGAATTTAATCTTTTGCATGTTGGACAAGAATATTTATAATTACTATACATTCCATTAAGAATATATTTCATTAGAGTATATATTTGAAGAAAAAATTTTTTGAGACCAAAGTTTCAAATTGGTTGATAATGAAATAGAGCCAGACAAAAAACTAAATACATTTTACCATAAACACAAGTTTTCATCATACTATGTAATAGCGCCCATTAAATTCATCAATGTTATATCAAAATCTGAAGTTTGCTCATGAGGTCTGCTTTTACGAGACCCATTTTAACATAAAGCATCTTTTTGTCAAACTGTTCAGGAAAAAATGGATTTTTATTACCTCACAAACATAAACATAGTTTTAAGAACAATTGTAATGACCAAATACCTACATGTGCAACATCCTAATGTGTGAAAGCATCTTTCATGGTATAGGAGTGTTACATATTTAGGCTGTATAATCTGTAACAAAAACAATAATTATTAATTAGTTTCTGCTTTAAATCCAGACTTTTTGCTGTTGCAATCAATTCAGAAAATAATGTGATGCATGTTTTATGTTAAATCCCAAATTAGAGAAAAGTATATAATTACAATTACTATACATTCTTATTAAAATATTCAGCATTAGAGTATAAATTTGAATGAAAGAAATTTTAGACCAATTTGTTAAAAAGCTTCAATCTGTTGTTTCAGGAAAAAACTGATTTTTATTACCTAACAAGTATAAATATAGTTTTAAGGAAAATTGTAATGACCAAATACCTACATGTGACTTATCCTAATGTGCATCTGCAATGGAAGCATCTTTCATGGTATAGGAGTCTTACATAATTAGGCTGTATCTGTAATGAAAACAAAAAAATATACATTTATATCAGCTTTCAATCAAGACTATTTGCTGTTGCAATGAATTTAGAAATTAATGTGATGCATGTTGTATGTCAAATCACTATACATTCTTATTAAAATATATCTCATTACAGTGAATATTTCAATAAATGAAATGTAGGACCAATTTGTAATAAAATTTCAAGCTGTTGTTCCAGGAAAAACTGATTTTTATTACCTAACAAATATAAACATAGTTTTAAGAACAATTGTTATGAATAAATACATACATGTGACTAATCCTAATGTGCTATCTGCAATGGAAGCATCTTTCATGGTATAGGAGTCTTACATATTTAGGCTGTATCTGTTAACAAAAACAAATATTTTAAATTAGTTTCAGCTTCAAAATCAAAGCAATTTGCTGTTGCAATCAATTCAGAAATTAATGTTATGCATGTTTGATGTCAAATCCTAAATTGGAGACGTATATTTACAATAACTATACATTCTTATTAAAATATACTTCATTAGGATATAAATAGGAATAAAAGAAATTTTAGACCGATTTGTTATATAGATTCAATCTGTTGTTTTAGTGAAAACTGATTTTTAATGCCTAACAAATACTAGAGGCTTCAAGGAGCCTGTGTTGCTCATCTGATATTTTTATTTACAATTGATGCATGAAATAATGCAACCGTTATACATTTGCTTTAGTTTCAGAGATATAAGTCAAAAACTGCATTTTCCCCCTAAGTTCTACTTTTAGCCATGTCTGACATGTTGGTTGGCAGGCAGGGTCATCGGACACATTTTTTAAAACTAGATACCCCAGTGATGATTGTGGCCAAGTTTGGTTAAATTTGTCTCAGTTGTTTCAGGAGAGATGATTTTTGTAAAAGACTACAAAAATTTACGAATAATTGTTAAATTTGACTTTAAAGGGCAATAACTCCTTATGGGGTCAATTGACCATATTGGTCATGTTGACTTATTTGTAGATCTGCCTTTGCTGAACATTATTGCTGTTTACAGTTTATCTCTATCTATTATAATATTCAAGATAACAAAAAAACTGCAAAATTTCCTTAAAATTACTAATTCAGGGGCAGCAACCCAACAACGGCTTGTCTGATTCATCTGAAAATTTCAGGGCAGATAGATCTTAACCTGATAAACATTTTTACCCACGTCAGATTTGTTCTAATTGCTTTAGTTTCAGTGATTAAAGCCAAAAACTGCATTTTACCCCTATGTTCTATTTTTAGCCATGTCGGCCATCTTGGTTGGCAGGCGGGGTCATCGGACACATTTTTTAAACTATATACCCTAGTGATGATTGTGGCCAAGTTTGGTTAAATTTTGCCCAGTAGTTTCAGGAGAAGATTTTTGTATGAACAGACGACGACGACTACGGACGCCAAAGTGATGAGAAAAACTCACCTGGCCAAAACCAAAGGGGCCAGGTGAGCTAATAAACCTAGTTTAAAGAAAAAAATTGTAATGAATAAATACTTACATGTGACTAATCCTTGTGTGCTATCTACAATGAAACCATCTTCATTGTCGAAGAGTGTAACATATTTAGGCTGTATCTGTAATAAAAAGAAAAATTGTAAATTAGTTTCAGCTTTAAATAGGGAATATTTGCTGTTGCAATCAATTCAGAAATTAATGTGATGTTTTATGCCAAATCCTAAATTGGAGACTAGTCTAGAATATTTACAATTACTTAACTGATTACAGTAAATATTTGAATAAAAGAAATGTTCGACAAATTTGTAATAAAATTTCAAATTGTTGTTCAAGGGGAAAACTGATTTTTGTTACCCAACACATATAAAAAGAGATAAAAGTACAATTATAATGACAAAATACCTACATGATACAAATCTTCGTGTGCTATATACCATGAAAGCATCTTCATTGTCTAGGAGTGTAACATATTTAGGCTGTATCTATAACAAAACCAAATCATCAATTAGTATCAGCTTTAAATAGACTATTGGCTGTTGCAACAATTATAAAATAAATGTCACTCATATTTTATGTCAAATCCTAAATTGGACACAAGAATATTTACAATTACTATGCATTCATGTTAAAATTTACTTCACTAGATTATAAATTTGAACAAAAGAAATATGTAAGCTAATTTGAAATAAAATTTTATTTAAGCTGTTCCAGGGAAAACTGATTTTTATTACCCAACACATATAAACAGTCTAAAGTACAATTGTAATGACTAAATACCTACACGTTAAACATCCTAATGTGCTGTCTACCATGAAACCATATTCATTGTGTGGGAGTGGAACATATCTGGGCTGTATCTGTTACAAAAGAAAAAGTATAAATTAGCATCAGCTTTAGATAAATATTTAATGGCTGTTGAAAAAATTAGAAAATTAATGTGATTCATGTTTTATGTAAAATCTTAAATTACGGACACTTAATTTACAATTACTCTTTCATTCTTATTAAAATATACCACATTTGAAATTTGAATAAAAGATATTTTAGACCAATTTGTAATAAAATTTTAAGCTATTGTTTCTTTTATTGACTTCCAAATTAATATTAACATAGTTTTAAGTACAATTATAATGACCAAATACTTACATGTTGACTCTTCCTATCTGCCATGAATCCATCTTCTCTGTCTAGGAGTGCAACATATTAAGACTGTATCTTTAACAAAAACTATAAATTAATATCAGCTTTAAATACAGACTATTTGCTGTTGCAATTTTTTCAGAATTTTAATCTTTTTTTAAATCACTGGAAATAGAAACAAGCCAATTATGAAAATCTATTTTAGTGCACTAGCCATTAGCCTTGCTATCAAATGTAAACAAATTGGTGAAAAATAGATTAAATATAAAAATAAAATCTTCTATACACTTTCAATGAGCAAACTCATTTATACTCTGGAGAAACTATAACAAGTTTTGGGTCAAAGTCAATTCAATGTTTTAATGCATGAACATTAATCAATGCAACTATCAAAAACATGATTTCATCATAAGACATCACCAAAGAGGTCAATAATGAAAAAGTTCTTTGAAGGAGCTAGTTCCAGTGGTCCCTAGTCCCATTCAACTTGGATATTTTGTCATAAGTCTTCAGTCCAGGTGTAGTGTATGTGCAAATTGTATTGTATCTACAGAGTAGAGATGAGTAAAATTATTTTCAATCAAAATTTTCTTTACAAGTTTGTAAAAATACATTACATTGTAATATATGGTCTATGATGTAGGATACACTTAGAAGTTAGTGTGCTTATAGGGATCCATGCTGTTACAATGTTTTGTTAAAAGAAATGGCATCCTACATCATAACCAGTTTTCTGAAAAATGAACTAGAGGCTCTAAAGAGCCTGTGTCGCTCACCTTGGTCTATGTGCATATTAAACAAAGGACACAGATGGATTCATGACAAAATTGTGTTTTGGTGATGGTGATGTGTTTGTAGATTTTACTTTACTGAACATTCTTGCTGCTTACAATTATCTCTATCTATAATGAACTTGGCCCAGTAGTTACAGTGGAAAATATTTTGTAAAAATTTACAAAAATTTACAAAATTTATGAAAATTGTAAAAAATTGACTATAAAGGGCATTAACTCCTTAAGTGGTCAATTGATAATTTTGGTCATGTTTGACTTATTTGTAGATCTTACTTTGCTGTACATTATTGCTGTTTACAGCTATCTCTATCTATAATAATATTCAAGATAATAACCAAAAGCTGCAAAATTTTCTTAAAATTACCAATTCAGGGGCAGCAACCCAACAATGTGTTGCCTGATTGGTCTGAAAATTTCAGGGCAGATAGATCTTGACCTAATGTACAATTTTATTCGCGTCAGATTTGCTCTAAATGCTTTGGTTTCAGAGATATGAGCCAAAAACTGCATTTCAGCCTATGTACTATTTTTTAGCCAAGTCGGCCATCTTGGTTCGGGGGCGGGGTCATCGGACACATTTTTTAAACTAAATACCCTAATGATGATTGTCGACAAGTTTGGTTAAATTTGTCTTAGTAATTTCAGAGGAGATTTTTGTAAAAGATTACAAAAATTTACGAAAAATTGTTAAAAATTGACTATAAAGGGCAATAACTCCTTAAGGGGTCAACTGACCATTATGGTCATGTTGACTTATTTGTAGATCTTACTTTGCTGTACATTATTGCTGTTAACAGTTTATCTCTATCTATAGTAATATTCAAGATAATAACCAAAAACAACAAAATTTCCTTAAAATTACCTATTTAGGGGCAGCAACCTAACAACGGGTTAACCGATTCATCTGAAAATTTCAGGGCAGATAGATCTTGACCTGATTAACAATTTTACCCCATGTCAGATTGCTGTAAATGTTTTGGTTTTAGAGTTATAAGCCAAAATCTACATTTTTACCCTATGTTCTATTTTTAGCCATGGTGGCCATCTTGGTTGTTTGGCCGGATGGCCGGACACATTTTTTAAACTAGATACCCTAATAATGATTGTGGCCAAGTTTGGTCAAATTTGGCCCAGTAGTTTCAGAGGAGAAGATTTTTGTAAAAGTTTACGGACGACGGACGCCAAGTGATGAGAAAAGCTCACTAGGCCCTTTGGGCCAGGTGAGCTAAAAAGTTATATTTTAATTGATGTAAGCATGGCTATGGGTAATGTAATATTGGAAAAGCTTTGAATTTCTTCAAGTTATGTTATCATTTTAAAGTACTGCTGAGGAAAAAAAAATTGGAAAAAAAGATTTTTATCAAAATTTTGTATGAAGAAACAAGATAAAGAGAAGGCATACACATAAAATAACTCATTGAAATAAATGTCTTAAATATGGAAATAAATTTAATCAAAAATAATTTAAACTAGTTTTATAATGGACAACCCCAATTTGAAACAACTTAATAGAAATAAGATTGGAAAAATATTTATTAAGAAGGCAATTTTGTAATTTTATGCAAACCAAATCATGAAAATTTACCCCTCGAAAAGACATTGTCGCCTCAGTTTTCTCGGGGTAACAAATTGTTCTATCACCCTTTCAGCTATGTGTTATTTATATAATGATCGCTGATTAGTTTTTACCATGTTTTTTCACACCTGACAGACGAGGTAAGCTCAGAACTAATCTAAATTGTGCTAATATTGCAAAAAATTCTATTCCACGACAACTTATTATCAATTCATTATTTATTCACTTTTCAACAAATACATGTACCATCCACAATTCTAATTTAAAACTTTTATTAAATTAGGACATTGAAAAAGTAATTTTTTATGAGTCAAAAGTGTGTGCCTTATTTACTATGTATACAATACATGGTAAGCAGACATAAAGTCACAAACTTGTTTGTTTACATTGCATATAATCATATTTAATAATTGTTCAGAAGCCTTGATTAATGAAGATTTATCAAATTTTAATCATGCAAAAGATATATTTTTTGGCCCCATGAAGCATTTTAAGTACCAAGCCACTTTGTCAAATAGTTTTCTGAACAATTATTTGATAATTTTAGTTTTTTCTAAGAATAAAGTTGGTTTATAAAGTTGCTTTATATTTCAAAGCTTAAGAAAAATACAAACTAAATGTGTCTGAAAGACATGAAAGGCCCCGTCTCCAAAAGTTGAATTTCAGCAACATATGTGGACACAAACATGCATGAATAGTATCAAGTTTTCAAAACCAATACTAGTTTGGTAAAAAATTTCCTTGATCAATGAGTTGTTAAATTTCAGCAAACAGGAAGTGGTTGTACTGCAGATCTACCAAGATGTGTTGAAACTGACATGAAAATCAGCATATTGGAACGAAACATAAACTTGATCTGTAACTTATCATTGTAGACTCACGTAAAATCAGCGCAAAATCTGAAGGCGTATTGAAAAAAAGTCCAAATCAGCTTAATATCTGAAGGCATATATACAAAAAAAATCTGTATAACTGATTTTCAAAAATTTTCAAAGTCCAAAACCCGTTCTTTCAGCAAAAATCAGCAGATCTGAATGAAACTTAAACTTGATCTGTAACACATCATGGTTAACTAACATACTTAAAATCAGCACAATATCTGAAGGCGTTTAGAAAAAAATCAGGATAACTGATTTTCAACCATTTATCAAAATCCAAAGTCCTGAATTTCAGCAAAAATTAGCAAAACGGAACCCAATATCTGAAGGCGTTAACATGGTTAAGAAAACAAGAGGCTCTCAAGAGCCTGAATTGCTCACCTGTAAATTTTGCCTTAAATATTTCATCAATGATTATTTTTGCTTTTCAATATATATTAATGAGTGGCTTTAAAATGCCATTTAAATGTTCTTGCATCTTAAAAGCAACAAAAAATCATTTTACCCCTATGTTCCATTTTAGCCATAATGGCTATGTTTCTTGACGTACAAGGAAATAAAATACAAAATTTATACTAGATACTCTGAAACTCATTCAGCCCAAGTTTGGCTGAAATTAATTCAGCAGTTTCAAATGAGAAGATTTTTTTAAAGTAAGCAAACTAGATGAACAAATCGTGAAAAATTTTCTTTAAAGGGCAATAACTCCTTAAGAGGACAATTGACAATTTTGGTCTTTAAACTAATTTGTAGATCTTACTTCACTGAACATTTTTGCTGTTTACAGTTTATCTTAGGCAATAACCTAAAAATCAGATACCTGATTTGGCTGATAATTTCAGGACAGGTAGACCTTGATCTAATGAATACTTTAACTTCTTGTCTGATTTGCTCTAAATGCTTTAGTTTTTGAGATATAAGTCAATAAACTGTTAACACAGAGATATGTCTCGCCTATTTGTTATTTTGATAATGGAAATGTTGAAATTAAAGTAGCAATACTTTAACATGCAAGTTATGCAAATATTTAAAGTCAATGAACCATAACTGAAGGTACAGGGCTAAACAATCTCCATGGAAATGAGATGTGCCAATGCTAATACAACTGTTAACCAAATACCATTGACTTTTCATAAGTCGTTCCCTTTAAACAAACCTAAACACAAACATTAACTTGTAAACTATGTAAAAGTTTCAAAGTCAATGAACCATAATTAGGGGGTGGGGTTATATAATCTCCATGGAAATGAAACTTGCAAATGCCAATACATTTGCATACTGAATATCATTGACTTAACATTTATGGTTCATCTTAAACTGAACTAATCACAAACTAATACATGTAAACTAAGCAAAAGTTTCAAAGTCAATAGACCATGACTGAGGGGTAGGGACCAAATATTCTCCATGGAAATGAGATGTGATAATGCTTATACAACTGCATACGAAATATCATTGACCTAGCTACCACTAGTGGTTCCCCATAAACTGACCTAATCACAAACTAATACATGTAAACTAAGCAAAGTTTCAAAGTCAATAGACCTTAACTGAGGGGGCGGGGCCAAATATTCTCCTTGGTAATGAGATGTGCCAATGCTAATACAACTGCATACCAAATATCATTGACCTACCACTAGTGGTTCACCATGAACTAGACCTAATCACAAACTAATACATTGTTGACGCTGCCGGAAACAGCATACCTATGTCTTGCTTTTTGACTCTGTCAAGGCGAGACAAAAACTGCATTTTACCCTATGCTCTATTTTTAGCCATGGCGACCATGTTTTCTGAGGAAACTGAAAATAAATTTTCAGCCATGTCAGCCGTGTTTTCTGAGGAAACTGAAAATAAAACACAAACTTTATTCTAGATAACCTAAGAATCATTCAGCTTAAGTTTGGTTTAATTTGGTTCCGTAGTTTCGGAGGAGAAGATTTTTCAAAGTTAGAAAACATGATAAACAAATTGTGTACAATTGTCCTTAAAGGGCAAAAATTCCTTCAGGAGTCAATTGACAATTTTAGTCACAATAAAACATATTTGTAGATCTTACTTTGCTGAACATTTTTGCTGTTTATTGTTTATCTTCATCTATAATAGTATTCAAGATAATAACCAAAAACTGCAAAATTTCCTTAAAATTACCAATTCAGTTGCAGCAACCCAACAATTGGTTGTTAGACTCATCGGAAAATTTCAAGGCTGATAGAACTTGACCTAATGAACATGATTACCCCATGTCAGATTTGCTCTAAATACTTTATATTTGAGATATAAGCCAAAAACTGCATTTTACCCCTATGTTCTATTTTTAGCCATGGTCGCATTGACAAAACAGAAAATTAACCACAAACTTTATTCTTGATATCCTAAGGATCATTCAGCTTAACTTTAGTTGAAATTGGTTCAGTAGTTTCAGAGGAGATGTTTAAAATAGTCCATACCGTATGGAGGACGACGATGGATGACATTGACGACAACGAACGCCAAGTGATGGCAAAAGCCTTGAATAGGTGAGCTAATCAAAGCGCGAAAGCGCTGTAAAGGCAGTTAATTACAGGTTGTGTGTATTTTTAGTCCAGTTATATCATTATCTTGCATAGTACAGTGTACTTATCAGAGGTGGCTTTCAGTATTTAAGATTTAGAGTTCTCTAATGATATTGAACAAGTTATATGAATGTCATATTCTGAGCACTATATGAAGGTGATTGTTCTCACTTGTTTATGAACTAGTGCATTATGTCCAGTTTGTACCTTTTTTATCTATGTTTATAGTCAAATTAGTTATCAAAGGTACCAGGATTATAATTTAATACGCCAGACGCGCGTTTCGTCTACATAAGACTCATCAGTGACGCTCAGATCAAAATAGTTATAAAGCCAAACAAGTACAAAGTTGAAGAGCATTGAGGAACCAAAATTCCAAAAAGTTGTGCCAAATACGGCTAAGGTAATCTATTCCTTGGATAAGAAAATCCTTAGTTTTTCGAAAAATTCAAGGTTTTGTAACAGGAAGTTTATAAAAATGACCATATAATTGATATTCAAATACTGTTTAAAATAGTTAGGCATTTTCTTTTTAGTAATAAGTAAATGTTATCAACTGTATTTTATTCAACTCTGCAAATGTGGTTTGTTACTGTTAAGTATGGATGATAGTTGTTTCATTGGCAATCATAACACATCTCCTTATTTATATAATGATCTATATTCAACGACCTCAGGTACAAAAAAAATGTATGTAACTTAATTATGATGGGAAACCTTTGACTTCTTTCTTTTATATAAACTTTTGACTTGGTACCATAGAACTATGTAGAATAAATGTACATTGCAACATGTCAACTCTTTCAATGACAATACTTTTTTAAGAAACTATAACTCCAAGCAAAATTATATTTCCAAGTTTAAAGTAATTTATGAATGAAAAAAGGAGTTCTTAATTAAGAAATAAACTGATTCGCTGAGCGCAGCTGGATACACCCGCAGAGGTCCAACCCTGAACAGTTGGGGCAAAAATGGACACAATATTCAAGCTTGATACAGGTCTGAATTTGGATTGTAATTAAATATTTGACATATTATAGTTTCTGAATAAATGTAGTCAAAGAACTTGAAATCGGTTATATGAATTGAATTTATATTCAATTAAAGATTTCTTGCTGTTGTGCAATACACTGTGCTGTTGCGCAATACTTAATAAATCTGTTGCCAGACTATAAACAAATAAAGTTCAATTTCTTCTCAATGTCATATTTGAAATTTATGAAAATCTATAGGGAGATTACATCAATAGCTATAAATAATTCACCAAAGTTTCATGCGAACTGCTTAAAGCATTTTTGAGTTGTTGTCCAACAAGAGTGCACACGCTGAAATGTCTCGCCTTCTTTACTAATCACTGATATTATGTTGATAGTCCTTAATATAAAGCTTTATTACAACTGTCACATAAACTTAACATTAACCAAGAAAACTAAACATTGACCAATGAACCATGAAAATGAGGTCAAGGTCAGATGAACCATGCCAGGCAGGCATGTACAGCTAACAATTCTTCCATACAACAAATATAGTTGACCTATTGCATATAGTTTAAGAAAAACAGACCAAAACACAAAAACTTAACACTGAGCAATGAACTGTGAAAATGAGGTCAAGGTAAAATAAAACCTGCGCTACTGACATATAGATCATAAAATATTTACATACACCAAATATAGTTGACCTATTGCATATAGTATTAGAAAAAAAGACCAAAACTCAAAATCTTAACTTTGACCACTGAACCATGAAAATGAGGTCAAGGTCAAATGAGACCTGCCAGCTAGACATGTACACCTTACAATTATTCCATACACCCAATATAGTAGACCTATTGCATACAGTATAAGAAAAACAGACCAAAACACAAAAACTTAACGTTAACCACTGAACCATGAAAATGAGGTCAAGGTCAGATGACACCTGCCAGTTGGACATGTACGCCTTACAGTCCTTCCATACACCGAATATACTTGACCTATTGCTTATAGTATCTGAGATATTGCCTTGACCACCAAAACTTAACCTTGTTCACTGATCCATGAAATGAGGTCGAGGTCAAGTGAAAACTGTCTGACGGGCATGAAGACCTTGCAAGGTACGCACATACCAAATATAGTTATCCTACTACTTATAATAAGAGAGAATTCAACATTACAAAAAATGTTAACTTTTTTTTCAAGTAGTCACTGAACCATGAAAATGAGGTCAAGGACATTGGACATGTGGCTGACGGAAACTTCGTAACATGAGGCATCCATATACAAAGTATGAAGCATCCAGGTCTTCCACCTTCTAAAATATAAAGCTTTTAAGAAGTTAGCTAACGCCGCCGCCACATCACTATCCCTATGTCGAGCTTTCTGCGACAAAAGTCGCAGGCTCGACAAAAACTGGAAAATCTCCCCTTTTTTAATGAATAAAACCCCATAACTCAGAAATGTAAAATCTAAAATTTATAAAATTCTAAAGGGAGCTTACGGATTGATAATTTAGTCTTAGATGCAAGATTTTTTTATCAGTTGTTAGTGGCTTTGAACTAGCTGTCAGTAACTTTGAGTACTCTCAGATCTGTACTTAGTGTCTTTTTGTTGTTTGGATGTACAACTACCCGACCACATCCACTTGTATTTGTATTTATCCATCTGATGAGTTAAGCCTCTTTCAACTGATTTTTATAGTTCGTTCTTATATTGTACTGTTACACCACTGTCCCAGGTTAGGGGGAGGGTTGGGATCCCGCTAACATGTTTAACCCCGACACATTCTGTATGTACATGTATGTGCCTGTCCCAAAGTCAGGAGCCTGTAATTCAGTGGTTGTTGTTTGTTTATGTGTTGCATATTTGTTATATTCGTTCATTTTTTGTACATAAATTAGGCCGTTAGTTTTCTTGTTTAAATTGTTTTACATTGTCATTTCGGGGCCTTTTATAGAGCTCTGACTGTGCGGTATGGGCTTTGTTCATTGTTGAAGGCCGTACTGTGACCTATAGCTGTTAATTTCTGTGTCATTTGGTCTCTTGTGGAGAGTTGTCTCATTGGCAATCATACCACATCTTCTTTTTTATATTTACATCAACAGATATAAACAATTCACCAAAGTCAAGGTGAGACAACAAAACTTAGTGGTAAGATCTCTGAAATGTTTTACACGGTACAAGTTTTTCTCATTGTTGGAGATTGTACGGTGACAGTAACACCTGTAACTGCTTAAACCCATTTCTTATGCACTTTAGTTCGATAAACTCACTGAATATCATACCACATCTCCTTATTTTTATATGCATTACAATTTACATGTGCATGTAATTATAAATATATATATCTCAGAACAAAATTCATTGCGTCACTTTTATTTATGCATCCTTTGGCACAACACAAGTTCTAAAATTACACAACATAGTACAACTAAATGTTATTTCAGATGAAAGTTTTGTTTCAGTTCCATTCATAGGATTTATTAGAATTTTGTATGTTTTGCCAAGTCCAATAATTCGCTCTATGTGCACATGTTAATTGGAGACTTTTCTATCCCGTATAAGAGTTTTGGAACTAATTCTGTTTCTTTTTTTGAAAAAAGTTAGCAAACAAATCTTGCACATTTAAACCTTTGTCTGCCATCACACTGTCACCTGGATCACATAATTGAACTATTCTACATCTTTCAACTATTTCATAGTCACTGGTAGAACCAACATATGCATTAGAGACATAGTTGACTAAACCACCAGGTGTCGAACATACAAGTATTTTCAGTGTTTCTGTTTTTATATGATGAAAAGGTTGCCTGAGCTCTAGGAGCTTTAGGTTTTATCACAGGATATTCTGTGCTGTCAATAATAATCAAAGTCGTAGGAAACTTTAATTTGAAGTTGGATGGTGAAAAATACCTGACTAAACCACTAGATGGCCAAGTGTTAGCCTCACACCACTGTTTAGACATACAAACAATTCATGTATACACAATAGTCTTAACACTAGATTCAATCTAGAATCTAGAAAGTTCAAAGTTGGTTGTATAATGCCTCAATTTCATCAAAGTCATAAAAAAACTGATTTTCAACTGACACCCTATCAATTTGTAAATATATGTATCTCAAACAATGTGCTGCTGGACCAAGTGTGGTCAAAACAAATAAAAATTTAGTATACAACTCTAAACCGGTATAAAAATGCATGGCTGAGTCACGTGTCTTCATTTCAAAATTCTCTGCTGAAAACATAGGCATTGATGGTGTTTGCATAATTCTATCTGTGAAGCTCAACATTAGCTCGGCAGTTGGTGGTGGACAGTCATAAATCCTTTCTGCAGTATGAATGAACCAACTTTACAATCAAAACTTTCCTCTAGATTTCTACTACAATATTCATCAAGTTTAGTTCTTTTGTTTTCACAGGAAACTGCCCTGATTTTTCTTTTTGCGGACGATTCAGTCTCTTGCTTGGTCCAGGAAAATAGGCTGGGAATGGCAGTAGACTTAGTCTCTGAATGGTGGGTTTGCGCCCTGAAAAAGGTTATAAAACATTAGTTTTTTGATAATTAAATGAACTTCCATTAGCAATGTATACTTCGTATTACCTGGCGAAATATTAACTAGATTTATTTATTACAATCTGGATAAAACTATGTTTGCCTGATTCAATGTATGTTATGTAAATCCAAAGGACAAACAATGAGAGACTTATGCAACAAACGTACATTGTTTGTACCTAAATAACTATAATATAGATGAGAGCATGTCATTGTTTTGTTCCTGTTAACATTGTCATTGATATTTTTCAAGAAAGTCTATGAGGCATAGCTTATGCATTCCTGTCATTACTACATTAGCATAATTACTGCTAAAATAATTCTCAGTATGATATACCTCTTGTAAGAAATCATTATAATTGTAGCAATCACCAAAAAATCTCAAACAGATCACATTGAATCGTAATCCAAAAAATTATGACGTCTTGAATTAACCACCCCTTTTATTCTAAAACGATAATTGCGGTTGTAAACAGACTTTGGTTTATTCGCATGGCGATTACATATATAACTATATATTTCAAAAAGAAAATAGAGTTTTACCATGAATAGTTTCCTGCATGTAGTCTTTTTCAGTAAATGTGCCTTGCAAACAACAGCTGATTGAGATGGACTCCACGAAATCGTGTTCTCGTCCAATCTGCGTATGGGCCATGGCGTTGATCCAACTTTTCCTTCTTTTTAAGTCATTTGGAAATGCATGTCCTCCTCTTAAATGACATCCAGGTACACAACAACAAGTACTTGGCATCGTTAATTAAAAATGTAACTGAAATAGTTGCACAGTGCAGAAACCGGAAGTTGAGGAACAGGATCGGCTACCACGGCGCCACCTATTCAGGAACGATAATTTGCTACTTTATATAACTGCGAAATAACAATAACGTTAGACGGGTTCACGTGCATAAACAGAAATGCGCTTTAAATTGTATAATATAATTCATGTTCAGTCGACCTTTAATTATTATATCAACGACTGAAATGATTTATAAACATATAGATTGCAGATAACCCTCGAAATTAACCCGAGCTCTTTCCACACGGAATTCAAATAATTCTAGTTTGTCAATCAGTTGACTGCTTATAATGCAAAATACAAATATATCAAAAGTTTTTAAAACTAACAAAACACAATGATCGTTTCTCTATTTCCCAATGTAAATGAAATGAAACAAAAAACATTTTATATCACAATAAGAAGAGGAGAGAATTCAACATTTCCAGATCTACTTGGAGCCTAACGACCCCCCACGTATATAAGTTGGATATCGCAGAAGGAAGGATTAACCCGGCAACTAGAAAGGCATTAAAGCACTGCCTTTAAAAATTGCATATAATGGTTTGTTGCGGAATGATGGAATGACAGACAAAGGTAAAACTATATGACCAACAACTTTGTTGCACGGTCATAAAAATGTTTTTAAATACTAGACATGTCTGAACAACATGAAAAGCCCGGCTCACATAAAAATTTTCAATGTCCAAAGCCCGTTATTTCAGCACAAATCAGTGGAGCAGAACCAAAATATGTCTGTATAACTGTTATTTTAAAAAAACATTACAAGTCCAAAGCTTGTTGTTTCTGCAAATATCAGCGTAGCAGAACTAAACATAAATTTGATCTGTAACTCATAAGCAGACTCACATACTGAAAATCAGCTCAATATGTGATAGTTAAGAAAAAAGTCTCTATAGGGGTAAATTCAGTAAATAAATATACGTCATCAGGGACCGCCCATTTGGGGGAGAGCTTTCTGTATAAAACTGAAGTCATGTGCTCTTCTGATTGGTAGATAATGTTTGTAATAAATATTTTTTGATAGATGGATAAAAACTAGAGTTGAAAAAAAATAAAAAATAAATGCTGAATGTACTAAATTTTTTTACTACAGGGTTGAAAAGTAATGGGGGTCAGTGAAGGAATTAAGTGCGAATCTACAGTGTTTGTAAACAAGGCCATGTGAAGGCCCAAAAATGCCGCATGACCCTATGTTTTTATTGTTGCAAATGATAGGGCTACATTTATACTTTCATGAATGATATATGAAATTTTCTAATTTCTAAAGGTAAATCAGGTATATATTTAATTCAAGACATAGATTAGCATTACAGTCAATGGGAGATTTTTTACTGAATTTACCCCTATACATGCTATTTTCACATAGTCCACTAAGCCCGTAATTTCAGCAAAAATCAATGGAACTATATCAAACCTAACCTTGATCTGTTACTCTTTAAAGTAGACTCACATACTATAAATCAGCTCAAAATGAGAGAGTATTTAGAAACTAAACCTAGAACGACCTTCAAAAAAATTAGGCAGGGAAGCATTCACCCAATATAAGTATGCCGAAAGAAACAATCTGATGGTTTATAGAAAAGTTAATTAAAAATTCTGAAAATGGAAAATATCAAGCAGAAGTTATAACCCCCAAACCTCCCAAAATTGCACCGGCCCATGAAAAAAAATCAGGTCATCCCATTGTAGACTTAGGCTCTATGTTGAGTCTTGGGACGTACTTAGACCTATAATGGTTTACAAATTGTGACTTGGATGTAGAGTTGTCTCACTGGCACTCATACCACATCTTCTTATATATATACTCATACCACATCTTTTATATATATACTCATACCACATCTTATATCTGTTTACAATAGTAACTGAAGACCCCTTATTATTAAAATTAATTAGTTTTCAAATTGTGAAATTTTTATTTTTACAATCATCCTGTAGCCTTCTATAAACAACTATGTTCTATTTTTAGCCATGGTGGCCATGGCAGGGTCATCGGATATATTTTTCAATCAAGAAGTTAAATTCTGTTTGAACCAGTAGATTATTAAGTGGAGAGGATTCTAGTAAAAGATTACAAAATTACGAAAAATTGTAAAAAATTTACTATAAAAGGCAATAACTCCTTAAGGGGTCAATTGACAATTTTGGTTGTATGTTTGACTTATTTGTAGATCTTACTTTGCTGAACATTATTGCTGTTAACAGTTTATCTCTATAATAATAATATGAAAGATAATAACCAAAAATTCAGCAAAATTATCAATTCAAGGGCAGCGGTCAGATAGATCTTAACCTGATGAACATTTTTATTCCATCAGATTTGCTCGAAATGCTTTATTTTAGAGATATAAGCCAGAAACTGCATTTTTCCCCTATGTTCTATTTTTAGCCATGTTGGCCATGTTGGTTGGCAGGTGGGCAAGGTGAGATAAAAAAGTCTGAATAACTATTATTTTCACAAAATGTTCAGTCCAAAGCCCATTGTAATTGCAAATTATATGCAAAGAGAAAACAAGAGTGCACACGCTGAAATGTCTCGCCTTCTTTACTAATCATTGATATTATGTTGATAGTCCTAAATAAAACTTTCTTACAACTGTCACATAAACTTAACATTAACCAAGAAAACTAAACATTGACCAATGAACCATGAAAATGAGGTCAAGGTCAGATGAACCATGCCAGGCAGGCATGTACAGCTAACAATTCTTCCATACAATATAGTTGACCTATTGCTTATAGTTTAAGAAAAACAGACCAAAACACAAAAACTTAACACTGAGTAATGAACTGTGAAAATGAGTCAAGGTCAAATAAAACCTGCGCGACTGACATAAAGATCATAAAATATTTCCATACACTAAATATAGTTGACCTATTGCATATAGTATTAGAAAAAAAGACCAAAACTCAAAATCTTAACTTTGACCACTGAACCATGAAAATGAGGTCAAGGTCAAATGACACCTGCAAGCTAGACATGTACACCTTACAATCATTCCATACACCAAATATAGTTGACCTATTGCTTAAAGTGTAAGAAAAACAGACCAAAACACAAAAACTTAACATAAGCAATGAACCTTGAAAATGAGGTCAAGGTCAAATAAAACATGCCAGACTGACATGTACATCGTAAAATATTTCCATACACCAAATATAGTTGACCTACTGCATACAGTATTAGAAAAACAAACCAAAACACAAAAACTTAACATTGATCAATGAACTGTGAAAATGAGGTCAAGGTCAAATAAAACTTGCCAGGCTGACATGAACATCGTACAATATTTCCATACACCAAATACAGTTGACCTGTTGCATACTGTATTAGAAAAACAGACCAAAACACAACAAGAGTGCACACGCTGAAATGTCTCACCTTCTTTACTAATCATTGATATTATGTTGATAGTCCTAAATATAAAGCTTTATTAAAACTGTCACATAAACTTAACATTAACCAAGAAAACTAAACATTGACCAATGAACCATGAAAATGAGGTCAAGGTCAGATGAACCGTGCCAGGCAGACATGTACAGTTAACAATTCTTCCATAAAACAAATATAGTTGACCTATTGCTTATAGTTGAAGAAAAACAGACCAAAACACAAAAACTCAACACTGAGCATGAACCGTGAAAATGAGGTCAAGGTCATATGAAACCTGCGTGACTGACATATAGATCATAAAATATTTCCATACACCAAATATAGTTGACCTATGGCATATAGTATTAGAAAAAAAGACCAAAACTCAAAAACTTAACTGTGACCACTGAACCATGAAAACTAGGTCAAGGTCAGATGACACCTGCCAGCTAGACATGTACACCTTACAATCATTCCATACATCAAATATAGTAGACCTATTGCATATAGTATAAGAAAAACAGACCAAAACACAAAAACTTAACTATAACCACTGAACCATGAAAATGAGGTGAAGGTCAGATTACACCTGCCAGTTGGACACCTTACAGTCCTTCCATACACCGAATATACTAGACCTATTGCTTATAGTATCTGAGATATGGACTTGACCACCAAAACTTAACCTTGTTCACTGATCCATGAAATGAGGTCAAGGTCAAGTGAAAACTGTCTGACGGGCATGAGGACCTTGCAAGGTAAGCACATACCAAATATAGTTATCCTACTACTTATAATAAGAGAGAATTTAACATTACAAAAAATGTTAACTTTTTTTTCAAGTATTCACTGAACCATGAAAATGAGGTCAAGGACATTGGACATGTGACTGACGGAAACTTCATAACATGAGGCATTCATATACAAAGTATGAAGCATCCAGGTCTTCCACCTTCTAAAATATAAAGCTTTTAAGAAGTTAGCTAACGCCGCCGCCGGATCACTATCCCTATGTCGAGCTTTCTGCGACAAAAGTCGCAGGCTCGACAAAAAACCAACATTATTTACCATGATCTGTAACTCATCCTATATAGTACGTGTATACAAAAAATAAGCAGAGTGGAAACAAATATTAACATGATCTGTAACTCATCATAATAAACTCACATACTATTATGATGAGTTACAGATCATGTTAGCACATACTTACAACTTCTCTTCCAATCAAATTGCTTATATTTGCCTTCTAATTTTCATAGTACATACTTTTCCTGTGTACTAAGTAACTACGCATGAAGGGTAGCTATTTTGAAATAAAATGCTGTGTTCCAAATTAAATTAAATAGTTTGTAATTAGTTTTCACGTTGATTTTTTAAATATCCTGCTATTAAAATCTTTTGATCTAAAAAATGTTTTTGGCAATTGCAAATTTTATCATTTAAATAAAGGGTAATACATATGGTTCTTTATACCTTGATTAGAGTACAACGATATCTTAAAATTATGATAATGTATCATCCATGCAATTACTTTGTACACAGAAAAGTGTGTACTATGAAACCTTGTGAAGGAAAATTAAAGGTTGCACTTTGTAAATACAGCTGTTTCTCAAACCACGCCTCTTTTGGGGAGATATATAATATTCATAGATATGTTAATTTGTTAATGTACTAGCTGGTTCCCATTCATGATCTCTGTGTTTCATCTCATAGAGACATCACTTGGGAATGTAACCAGTACAGAAAAACATGGTAGCGCCTAAATTTTAATTCTTAGGAGGTCCAAATATGAAGGTAAGGGTTGTATAGCATTTTAGTATAAGTTTAAACTCATAGAAGTTCAGGGCATATAAATGTTAAAATATGCCGCACAGCCCTATATTTTGACCTTTGAATAAAATAGTAGTGCATATAAACTGTCCGTTCTGGGATATTATTTTTCACGAAACTTCATAGTAAAAGTGTCACAGTTTTAGCCCCAAAGGGAGTTCCCATGGGAAATTGCATTGTCTATATTTACAGAATTGCAAACTGTATAGGGTTAAAAAAATAGAACATACAGAATTTCACAAAATCTAGCTGGTTTATCGCAGAGATTTTAAAGAATTTAACTCAAATATGAAGTTTTATAAATATTTCATGAAGATTGAGAAAATCCTGAGCCTTAACTATGATGACTCAGCATAAATTCACAGTTTACAGTATGCATGGTTTACTTAAGTCCCTGAATTCAAAATAAATTCATAATGTATGCCTATTTGTGATTTAAATTGTTTAGAAGTGCTTATATTTACTCTTCACAGTCATTGCAACTCATTGATCCTTCCTAAATAATTTTGTTGGGTTATTTTTGTCCTGTCGATAATCCAAAAGTAAGCCATAACACCTAAATATGTTTTTTTGTGACCGCAGCATTAAAAAGTACAAGCTAAGATTACAAAAAGACCTTAATAAAACTTACAATATTGTGTTCTATCCTAAATATATACTAAATATTCCACATTGCTAGAAACAGGGAAAATATTTAGGAAATGTGAGGCCCCAGGGGGCAAAAAACAGAAAAAATGCCAACCCTGGGTCATAAAACAGATAATTTAACTTGTAAATGCTATGATTTTATTATTTTCAAGGTCTTTTGTAAACAAAACAATAACTGTGCTGGAAAGTTCTGCAAAAATAAGATGTAAGCAGTCTTTTCTATCAAGCTTTTATTGAATTTATGCACCAGACTGATATCTTCTTAAATACAATTTTGCAAATATGGCTTTGTTTAGACACTTCTAGTTCATACATTAACTAACTTATGTTAGTTATATGGTTAGAGATGAAACTGTTGTGACAAGAATTCTCAACTGACCATTTGAGACAGAAATTGTGAAATTTCATTGACAAATAGGCATACAGTAAGATGTGGACTGGAGACACAGGCAGGATTGGATACTTTGTATAATCTTGAATGTTGGAATGATTAACTACTAAACAATACATTTATAGTATTCTAAAATGCTTTCAATTTGTTATCAGAATAGTTTCAAACATGTTTTATACATTTCATGTCAGAAAACATGCACATAGGGTAAGCTGGCAATAATTAAAGTCTTGTTTTCAAATTCTTTAAAAAACTGAAACAGGGGTAGGGGTATGAAATGTACTGTAAATGGAAACTTAAGAGTACATGTATATGCAGTGATTTCCTTAAGGCTATAATTCTGATAAATAAGTATTGTTGTGAGAAAAAGTGTTTTTAGAAGGTTTTCTATTTGAATAAATGTTTGCATAGGTTGCACTTTGTAAATACAGCTGTTTCTCAAACCACGCCTCTTTTGGGGAGATATATAATATTCATAGATATGTTGATTTGTTAATGTACTGGTTCCCATTTATGATCTCTGTGTTTCATCTCATAGAGACATCACTTGGGAATGTAACCAGTACAGAAAAACATGGTAGCGCCTAAATTTTAATTCTTAGGAGGTCCAAATATGAAGGTAAGGGTTGTATAGCATTTTAGTATAAGTTTAAACTCATAGAAGTTCAGGGCATATAAATGTTGAAAATATGCCGCACAGCCCTATATTTTGACCTTTGAATAAAATAGTAGTGCATATAAACTGTCCGTTCTGGGATATTATTTTTCACGAAACTTCATAGTAAAAGTGTCACAGTTTTGGCCGCAAAGGGAGTTCCTATGGGAAATTGCATTGTCTATATTTACAGAATTGCAACCTAAAGCAACTTGATTATTTTTTAAACTTTCTTAAGGAAGGTGATCTATTTCATCATGAATTGATTGATTTATTGATTATTGGTTGCTTAATATTCAGTGGCAAATATTTCATGCATGTTTAGGACGATGTCATGAATTGAAAAACTGTGATTATGTCTGAAGATAATGTGCCACCTATATATATATATAAATTAACATATTCTGATAAATCTTTTAGTTTTTACTTTGAAATAATAAAAAAAAAATCACAAAACACAAAACCTATAATCTCTGATCTATTGGTAGTTGCTTTTTAATGCCTATCTGCTAGACTATATCTATGGGGACAAACTATCTATATGTTTCAAATTTATTATAGCTTGAGTTTTACTGTGAAATTAAAAAATGTTTTCAAAACATGTAAAGCTTCCACTGCAATTTAATTATTGCCTGCTTTTGGTCAATTTATTTTGTCATCTTACCATGTAAGAAGAGCATGTATAGTAAAACACCGCTTTATATCAGTATACATGCTTACACCAGCAGCTAGCTACCATCTTTTCATTCTGGAGTGAAGGGCCTTTTGAAATCACATATTTTACAATGATACTAGTGAGTAGATTTACAAAACTTCGTTAATGAGCTCCGTTTTACAAACACCTGTGATACAAGTAGTCAGCCAAAATAAACTATCAATAGACCAATTAAAAGATTACTTGAGTTGTAAATATGTGCTAAAATTGGATAGTATATACCTTTTCATATTAGCACATACTTACAACTTCTCGTCCAATCAAATTGCTTATATTTGCCTTCTAATTTTCATAGTACATACTTTTCCTGTGTACTAAGTAACTACGCATGAATGACCACAAGGGTATGATTTCATTGTATCGTAATCAAGATATTTAAAACAAAAATTGCCACTGGCTATTTTGAAATATAATGCTGTGTTCCAAATTACATTAAATAGTTTGTAATTAGTTTTCACGTTGATTTTTAAATATCCTGCTATTAAAATCTTTGGATCTAAAAATTGTTTTTGACAATTGCAAATTTCATCACTTAAATAAAGGGTAATACATATGGTTCTTTATACCTTGATTAGAGTACAACGATTTCTTAAAATTACGATAATTAATGTATCATCCATGCAATTACTTTGTACACAGAAAAGTGTGTACTATGAAACCTTGTGCAGGAAAATTAAAGCAACTTGGTGATAATTTTTTAAACTCTCTTAAGGAAGGTGATCTATTTTGTCATGAATTGATTGATTTATTGATTATTGGTTGCTTAATGTCCAGTGGCAAATATTTCATGCATGTTCAGGACGATGTCATGCATTGAAAAACTGTGATTATGTCTGAAGATAATGTGCCACCTATATATACATATAAACGTATTCTGATAAATCTTAGTTTTTACTTTGAAATAATAAAAAAAAAAAAAAAACACAAAACATAAAACCTATAATCTCTGATCTATTGGTAGTTGCTTTTTAATGCCTATCTGCTAGACTATATCTATGGGGACAAACTATCTATATGTTTCAAATTTATTATAGCTTGAGTTTTACTGTGAAATTAAAAAATGTTTTCAAAACATGTAAAGCTTCCACTGCAATATAATTATTGCCTGCTTTTGGTCAATTTATTTTGTCATCTTACCATGTAAGAAGAACATGTATAGTAAAACACCGCTTTATATCAATATACATACTTACACCAGCAGCTACCATCTTTTCATTCTGGAGTGAAGGGCCTTTTGAAATCACATATTTTACAATAATACTAGTGAGTAGAATTACAAAACTTCGTTAATGAGCTCTTTTTTACAAACACCTGTGATACAAGTAGTCAGCCAAAATAAACTATCAATAGACCAATTA